TGTTGGCAAATAATGCCAAAACTTCAGGATGCTTTAATACGAAGGGAAAGGAACAAAGCTATTTTAAGATAAGATATTCCTACACTTAAATGTATTGTATATATAAAAGTTATTCAGCACAAAAAGAAAAGAGTTGTAACATTTTACTATTTGGCCACATATCTACATACAAAAAGTCTTTTATATACTTCTATTATTTCTTTTGATATAAACTGATGTTTTTGGTTTATAAAAACATTTTATCAATTTACTCTCTGATCAGTGGCAGTCTGGGCTTCACTGTTTCTCAGTATTTCAACTCTAAATATAAACCATTAATCTGATAAGTAAAAAAAAAAAAAAAGAATATCTCTGTTGTTTGCTTTATATTCATTTGATGATCAGTAAGGTTAAACATGCCTCCATATATTTTTCTATAACTTGTATGTGCTTTAAAAAATCACAAAACAAGGAATTATATGCAGTGTTTTGCCAATATTTATGCCCAGGTTTGGAATGAAGGTAACAGGAACTTTTGACAAAATATAAACTGTGAGGAAACTTCCTCCAAAGGAGGGTGTGGTTTTGAGTTTTCTTGGGGTGTCGCTCTAAGCATAATACAGTGCAGTGGTTATGAGCCCAGCTCTGGAGTCAGGCTCAAACCTGAGCTGTGTGGCCTTAGGCAAGTCATCGGACATCTCTGGCACCAGTTGCTTCCTTTGTAAAATGTGGAGTAATACCACCACCAAGTCCTTATAACTCTGGCTCTCATACTAACTGCTAGGAAATTGTCTGCTATCACTATTCTCCCTCCTTGGGCCCATTAAACTGCTAAAGGATGAATCCAACAGGCAAAGTTTCCTTGCCCTATCACTTCTGTGAGAAGGATTTTTTTTAACTTACTGTCTGGACTCTGCATTTGCTAGTATTATTTCAGTGCATGTTTTCTCTCTGGGGTTTAATTGTTCTTTTGGACACAACACTGCAGAGAGCACACTGCTCTACAAAGCATCCTCACATACATGCTAACCTAACAAGTGGTGGTGGTAATTTCTTTTAACTGCCTTCCGAGAACTTTTCAGTAATAACATGACCAGTCGTTTAATGGAATAAATATTAACTCGGGTCACTATATGACTTTCACTCAGTTATGTATTCCATAAGCATTTATGATATCTATTATAGGACAGTTCTGAAATACTCTATGTGATGAAAATGTTGTATAAGATAAAGCCATCCTCCTTAAGAAGTTTACACTTTAAAAAAGAGCTGAGCACCCAGTAAAGGAATGTACAAATGATGCTGTTCTCCCTGCTACGGTTAAAGGCCTGCTGGAGCGGTAACAGGCCCTAGCAGGGGTGGGCAAACTTTTTGACTCGAGGGCCACAATGGGTTCTTAAACTGGACCGGAGGGCCGGAACAAAAGCATGGATGGAGTGTTTGTGTGAACTAATATAAATTCAAAGTAAACATCATTACATAAAAGGGTACGGTCTTTTTTTTTTTTTTTTTTTTTAGTTTTATTCATTTCAAACAGGCCGGATCCGGCCCGCGGGCCGTAGTTTGCCCACGGCTGCCCTAGAGAGTGGTATGTGCTGAGGATGTGTAGTATCCCCCAGTCTGTTCAGTTTCTTAGCCTCCCAAGAAGTCTGCAAAATACAGGCTTCAGCACAAGATGAGATAACGCATGTGAAAATCCTGTGAACACTGTAGAGATAACAAAGATCCTTATTGTGTCTTAAAAGCCCAAAGAGAAGAATAAAAACATTTTGTCAAATATCTGCAAATAGTTAAAAAGTACTATAAAAATAAATTAATAACATAAAAGCTATCTTGGCTAGCCACCATTTTCTTTCAACAGAAATTTCAGTCCAAATGGCTTCATAGAAATATTGTTAAAAATAGTAAAATCTAAAATCATTTCTAAAACTTTTACTTATTTTAAAATATGCTCCAAATTAATGAATTTTTTTATTCAAGTCAACATATTTCCCTCCCCGCCGCTTCTTGTCTTTCTAGCCCTCCTCTTCTCTCTTGCGTTAAAGTTTTGAGATCTCTTCCTAGTTGACTTATTTTCTACCAATAACATTAGATCATCCTGGAAATAGGAGCCGGGAAGAAAATGTATGGCACTGAGTGTGATTACTGCAGCCAAACTGCCTGGATTGATTCTGACACTTAACTCTATCTTCACAGAAGTGCACTGTGCCTGTTTCATCCATTCAAACTGATCTGTGAAAGTTTGTGAGGATTTATGTGACTTTATGGAGAGTGCCCAGGGCAGTGCCTGCAGTAGTCTGTGCTTAGTAATATTGGTTACTATTATTAGTCAAGAGCTTACGTTAATCTAAAGAACCCTTGACGGAGCATCAAGAAAGCTGGGGTTTTGCTATTCTTCTTTTTTAAAAATTGATTTTAGAGAGGAAGGAAGAGGGAGAGAGAGAAACATCGATGTGAGAGAGAAACATCAATTGGTTGCCCTCCGCATGAGCCCCGACCAGGGATGGAACCGTCAACCTGGGTATGTGCCCTGACCCTTCAGTGCATGGGATGGCGCTCCAACCAACCAAGCTGCACCAGCCAGGGCTAATGGGTATTTATTGAGCATCAATTATGGGTCAGCTGGAGAGACACAAAATTAACAATATGGTCTCTACTCATAGGACTTCACTGACCAGTGGGAAACAGAAAAAAAGAAGCCAAACAACGCATGGTATTGCAAAACAGTGCCCTAGCAAGGATACCTGACTCTGCCTTCCTGCGGGTGCTGGGAGTGAGCAGGAGAGAATAAAATCAGACAAGCTTCCAGGAGCAGCTGATTTTGAAGTAAGTCTTGAAGGAGAGCAGAAACTAAGATTACATGACAGAGGAGAGGAGGCACCAAGACAGAAGGAAGGACGTCAAAAAGGCACAGAGTTGTGCGAGAATACAGGGCATCAAGGAAGTTAGTGTGGCTGGAGCCAGGGCATCATAAGAGGGACGATGGCCAGAGACCCAGTGGGAGAGGGAAGTGGAGCCCAGTCATGAAGGAAAGTGTGTCACAACAGAGAGCTTTCCGTCTGCCACCTGAAGCACACCGTGGGAACTGCTGCAGTGGCTGCAAACAGGAGTGAGGGCTGCCTGAATGCCGGCAGAGGTGGTGTGAATAGTACACACAGGCAGGCGACAGACATAAACATGGGTGCAGAGGAGGGTCAGGAGGCTGCAGGCACAGGAAATGCTGGCTGATTGGAGACAGTGGGTGAGGGGGGACACAAGAGTCCTGGCCACCTCCATGTCCCTGATTCGGCACCTGTACTGAGGGACACCTAATTCTGTTTGTCCATAAAATAAGGATATTTAATGTTTCTAATTTCCATGAGATAATGGAGACAAAACCCAAAACTTGAAACTCCCTAGAACTTTAAGGAGAAAAGGTACATATTATTTCTAGAAACATTTTGGACTCAGAGGATAAAGATTATACAAACTCAGACCTTCACTATAAAGAGTCTTTTTATATCACACAGCTAGTTATCCTGCATACAGGTCAAATCATGCCTCATGAAAACAGTATTTGTCTTCCTTACACTGAAATGATTATGGTGGGATTCTTGTTTCTTACAGTTCCTAAATGTTATGTCATAGAATTTGAGTCCTGAGGGTTACTACCTCCTTTGTCTTCATATTTGACAATTTTCATAGCAGCCTAGTCAGTGCTAAAGTTACCGAAAGCCACACAAGGAATAAATAATCAGTGAAAGGTGAAAGGAAAATAGCTGGAACATGTAAAACCTTCGATGTGCAGTGGGTGTTTAACCAAATAATTTAAATGTCAGGCACCTTTCACTGTCCCAGCAATTCCAATGTAAACGTTTACAGAAGCTGGAGTTGGTCTTCACTGAGTGTCCACTGAGCTCAGGACACCATAAAGGCAAAAAGAACTGCAGACTGGCGACCACTGGCCTTGAAACAGTTCTCTGTGAATCATCCTGTAGATGGCCGTCTGCAGACCCCAGAACCATACCATGCTGTGGGTGGCAGCTGGGTCATATTTCCACAAGCCAGAAAAAGTGAGCTCCAGGGAGGCAGGGCAGTGAGGTCCCTTCAGACACACTGACCAGGGACAACTCTCGACCATAAACACTCTGGCACGTGTTAGGTTCTTTTTGAGAAAGGACAGGCAGCTGCCAGTGGGTCACCTTTCTGAACAATATTCCCTATTTCCTTCCAAAAAATGCAGCTAGGACACAGTCTTAGCTATTAATGCAGGACTCAAAGCTAGTTAGGAAAAAAAAAATCACCTAATAGTGTAGAAAGATTTATTTTACTAGGTTAACTGGGCTGTGTACTATTAAAGCAGTTGAGTAGCAGCGCTATGAATGTCAGTCCAACTTTGCCAAAGAAGTGAGTGCTAAGAGGCAGTGCTTGTGCTGGTCACAGCCTGTCTGTGCCTTGGGTTTCTTCCCCACAATCAGGAGTTGATATTTCCCACCTGTCTATTTCAGTTATTTAAAAAAAAAGATGAAAAAAAATCATTGGTTGAGTGCTAGACCCCAGTATGTGTGACACTGGACTGAACTCCAACGCCCCTGTTGGCTCAGCTTCAAGTACAAGGAGGCTTTGTCAAATAATTGGCAAATACTTAGAAAACTAGGAAAAGAAGCAATGATTTCTTTCTTCCATGAGTTATGTGTGTCTTCAAGGGCACTAGACAGCCTCAGCCTGCTGTCCTGATACATCTGTGCTGGCCTATTTCCTCAGTCGACAGAATCCTTCTTATTCCAATAACTCTGAGCCTGTGTTGGCCCCCTCCTTTTCTGGGGATCTGATTGTTCCTTACTCCAGAATATTTCCTTCAATCTTATCTCTAAAATAGCCAAAGGACAGTTTATCAACAGAAATTAGAGAAAGAACTGGACCAAACACTCATTCTTTAACAATATTCAAATATAATTCATATATATATGTATATGTGTATGTGTGTGTGTATGTATATGTATATGTATATGTATATGTATATGTATATGTATATATATCCACATTTCTGTGGCTCTCGAGGTTGTTTTTAAAAGTGTGCTCCTGAACTTCCTCTCTGGTGCATGCCACTGTGGACACTTTGAGCCAGAGCATCTCGATGTGTAAACATTCTTGAGCAGACTTCACCTTATAGAGAAATCGACTCCTATTTATTATCATTTCAGCGTGACTTGACCCATTCAATTCATTGCTGAGGCCTGAATATAAACAAAATCACCAGAAGTTTAACCCCTTTTCATTTAAGGTGTATGATTACTAAGATAATAAATACTGGGGGTGATGGTGACTTTTCAGGAATCTTAAAGCAAAAATTAAAGCTGGTATTCTAGCACTTACTAAATCTTTGAATATAGTGAAGGTTTATTCTGTTTCTGCCACAAATAAAAGCTAAGGAAATAATTGCCAAGCAAGTAAACTGGAATTGCAGAAGGTTTCTATGTGTGCCCTGAGAAAAATCACAAAAAGGCTCCAAGTTGGTGTCTAGGGTAAATATTTCCAGAATACAGGTTACATTAGAACTTAGACAATCTTCTTAACTATTAATGAATGAGTTGAGGATGGGGGGGGGGGGGGGCTTTTATTTTTTCCTTTCTGTGGCTAGAAAAAAACTTGCCAGTTCATGTCAACATGTCCGGTTATGCAAAAATGAGATGATAGTGTCTTAAGAAACATTAGCTACTCTATTAGTAATGAACTCAACTCTAGAGAAAAACATACATAGGCAACTTCCAAAAACATAAGTAAAAATACTTTGGAGGATATTTCCCTGTGGAATAACTTGTTGTTTTATGCATGTTCGGATAACAGTAAGTGAAAGGATTAATATTGTATTATAGAGACAATCCTGAGATGGTTTCCTTCGCTTATTAACAAAAGTGGCATAGATTGTTGCCAGAGTACCTGCCAGGTAGTTTAATTTCAGGAGGAAAAGGTGTTCCTCTGGTGGAACCTGAATTAAGGACCCATCTCATGCAGCCTAGTTACTATCAGCGCCTTCAGGGCAAAGATTGCAGACCTTATTTATGTCCCTGGGGTGGGACATTAATGATAGCTTAGGGACCACGCATATCTTCTCACTAGAAAGCATTATGAGGAAATTATAATTCTTAAAGTATTCTAAGGAAAAAATATCTAGAACAAACACTTCTTCGTGCTTTTCTCTATGCATAAAAGGACAAGCCATAGTATTTTCAAGTACAACTTGGTATACCTATCCTAAATAACATGTCCGAAGCTGTTGCCTAATAATTATGAAAATGTGAAATACTTAAAATATATTCTAAAGTAAATAAATTAGAGAAAGGAAGTTAGTTAATTAGTTATGAATAAAAGAGGAATGGCTAAAAGGGGGATCTGCAATCCAAAGGCTGTAAAGGAGCACTGTAATGAAAAGAGCAAGCAGAACCCTGGTGTGTGTGAGAAGAAACCACAGCAGAGAATATTGAGAAAACACCTCATTCAGATAATAGCACATTCCGAATATCATACATTCATCTTTCAGTTTTAGGCCCTCGGGTATTAAAAGATATCATATCTGTATTTCCAGGACCTCGCATATAGAGGCACTAAAAACACTTATTGATGAATTAAAAAATGGAGTAAGTCAAGCTTCAGGGAGGTAATCCTGAATTCTCTGATGATTAAAGAAAAGTATAAAATAATGTCTCTGAGGGAAGATGATAATAAATTGGGAATGACTGAAATAAGACTAGGATAACAATAGTCAAATACATGAAAGGATTTTTCTGTCAATTTGGAAAAGATAAAATTAACTAAAACTATAGCATTAATAATATAGATAGATGTAAGCAAGAAGTAAAGTAGTATAATAGAGTTGTTGACTAATGAAATCAACCTTCAACAGGTTAGTAAATATCCAAATAAACATATTTCAAAACAGCCTAGATCCTTCTTTCCCTAAGAGCATTTCGGAAGCATGACATTTACATGACCAAACTATGCAAGGCCTTTCTTTGATTGACATAGGACTAGGGTGGGTAGTACAGGCCCCCCCACAGTCTTCCATCACAGTTTATAAGGTGGTGGCCACAGGTCTGGCTTTCTATTTGGAAAGACACCTCACATGGAAGTGGGAGCCCTGTTGTCCTGAGGAAGAATCATTCCCCTACTCAGGAGAAGCTGGGCCACGTGGTGCCCAGGCTGTTAATTTACAGGTAAAGATAGCCTGAAAGCTTAGGCCACTTTGAAGGCACAACCTCTCAGCATTTCCAGGGCAGGATGAATTAGCTGCCCCTGCCAGGGATGGGAAAGAGACTTGAAGCCAAGTCATCAGAGAGAAGGATCCAGCATGACCTTGAACCTCTCTGGCACTCAGTTTCCTCGCATGGAAAGTAGTAGGTGATAGCAACACTCAGCCTGCAGGGTTGTTAAGAGAGTTCTTCGAGACATGACTTAAAGGTAGGCACCTAAAAAACTAATGCATAAAGCTGACTAAAGAGCATTAAAGGGCTAACTTTGAAAAGCATGTCACAGGACAAGGTTTTCACAAAAAGAGCTGAATTAAAATGTTTTTCCCTCAGATTAAAAAATTATATTTACCTATTTACTTATTTCACAGTCAAGTCATTTTCAATGTTAAAATTTTAGACTACATTAAAAAAAACTTAAAAATCACTTGTACAAAATTATATTTGACATATATATCCATGAAGGGGTGTGTGTGTGTGTGTGTGTGTGTGTGTGTGTACAGTTGCTTTTCCTCCCCCAAAGTGGTATATTATGCAATCTGTTTCCTACTTAACATTATTCCCTGTCAAGAAATAGGCATGTACACTGCTATTTTCAATGGTTGCATAGTATTCCACTATATGGCTATACCATAAAATGTTTAACCAATCCCCTAACGGTGGACATTTAACTTGACTGCAGATTCTCACCTTTATAATTAACATGGTGTTAAACATGCTTTGACTTAAAATGTTTTGAAACACCTGCCATTTCTAGCTCTCCTGGATGCTATATTTAATTCAGTATAGAGGGTGAACACGCATTTACAACTTGACAAGAAATAGCACAGTCTTCTTTGATTCTTACATTAGTGGTAACTTTCCTAGTCTCTATAATAATAATCACATGGAGAATGATGAGACTCCACAATGTATTTTTCCCTATTATGTATTTTAAAAAGCAGTTCCCATGAACGTGCTTGGAAATATTTCTCAAAATAACACGTATCTGTTAAGATTTTCAGAAAGCAATTTTTTTTTTCATAAAAAGTAGAAAAATAAAAGAAGCTCTTGCTGATGTTCCTAAGATGCAGCCTTTGCCTGGAATTTTCCTTTCTCCCTCGTGTCTAGTCTTAGTTCTTGGAAAGTTACTTCTCACACGAACTGGATAAAGCTTTTTTTTCTACATTTATTCCACAGTTGCAATTCCCATGACTTCCTTTTCAAGAATCACTTCACCTTTTTCTGTACAAAATACAAAGTCCATATTTATTGGGTTTTTTTCTATTTCATTAATTTCTGCAATTATTTTTATTTGTTTTTACCTTCTTTGGGCAAACTCAGTTCCTTTCTAGCTTCTTGAGCTACATATTTAACTAACCTATTTCAACCTTTTTAAAAATAAATATATTCAACGCTTTGCATCCATCTTCAATGAACTCTTTAGCCACATCCCTCAGTTTTGGCATGTAGCATTTTTGTCATTTAGTACTAAGCACTTCAAAATTTGCATTGTAATTTCTTAATCCAGGCATTCCTTAGAAATATATTTTTTAGATTCCAAATTTATCCTTTATCTTTTTATTGTGAATTTGTAATTTAGTTGCACAAGAATCACAGGAAATGTGAGCTGCCAGATGATGCTTTTTCTGGAAGTTCTGAGATCTTTCTGATGACCTTGTAACAGTCATATTTGCAAATAATGGTCATGGGCCTTCATCACAAATTCTGTTAGCTTTGAAGTCATGTGGGTAAAGCTAAGTCCATGATCTCTTTTTTTATCTGGCACATTCTTTTTTTTGTTTATCCTTACCTGAGGATATTTTTCCATTTATTTATTTATTTATTTATTTTTGAGAGAGAGAGAGAGAGAGAGAGAGAGAGAGAGAGGAAGGGAGAGGGAGAGACACAGAAAGAGAAACATCAATGTGAGAGAGACACATGGATTAGTTGCCTCCTGCACGCACCCCAACCAGGGCCAGGGATAGAGCCTAAAACCAAAGTATGTGTGCCCTTGACTGGAATCGAGCCTGGGACCCTTCAGTCTGAGGGCCAACACTCTATCCACTGAGCCAAACCAGCTAGGGCTTATCTGGCATATTCTAATAAAAATGTGTTAAAATCTCACATTAAGGTTGTGAATTTGCCAATTTCTCTTTTAAATTCTGTCAAATTTTGTTGTTACATGCACAATCATGATTATTTTTACATTCTTTGTAAACTACTCTTTTAAATCTTGTAGTGACCCTCTTTATCCCTATTAACACTGAATGTGCTTTGGATTCTATGTTTTCTGATGTTAATATTGCTACTCTAGCTTTTCACACTATTTGGTACCTGTTCTGCCAAGCTTTTCTGAATCACTTTGAGTTATATCTCTTCTAAGTAGTACAGACCTGGATTTTTAAAAATCCAAACTGATAGTCTCTGTCTTTCAATGTGTAAGTCCAATCCATTTAAATTTGCTGTGACACATTTCTACCCTCTTATTTTGTGTTTTTTATTTACCATCTTCATTCTATCCTCCCCCCACCCCCCAAATCTCCTTTCCTGTCTTCTGTTGATTCATAAGTTCTACTTCCATTTCTGTTCCCTTTTTAAAAGTTTAGGTTGTATTTCCATATTTTAACAATTAACCTATCAACATTGTATGTAACGCACACCTGTAACAATAGTGCAATCCTCTGGTAACCCTGGTTGTCTGTTAGTATCACTGTTTCAAGATTGTTAAAAATAAGTTAGCAGAGATCCAATTCATTTAATACCACAGTCAGAGAAGCGGATTTGCAGTCAGTGCCTTGATATGGCTAGGGAGAGTCCTTTTCCTTTAACACAGAGAATCATCATCACTTGATACACTGAAAATTCCCCTTAACTTTGGTGACTTTCAGATGAGATTCATGCACATAGATAGTACTACCAGAAAATTAATTTTCATCTAAAAATAACTTCACAGAACTTACTGCCCAACTCTTCCTTAGTTTTATCACAGCCTAGCCTCATACACAGAGTTTTATTGTAGGAATTTTTTATTCTTCAACTCAGGACTTGAAAGTTCATCCTAACACTATTTATAACAAGAATTGGAAATAATCCAAATGTTCATGAAGGGAATAGCTAAGCAAATTATACTGTAGAATACCCATCAAATATCTACATAAAATTTACACATATGACAGACAAATAGATTATACTTATCCAGGAACCATGTTAAATGAATAGAGCAGAACACAAAATACCACAGATGTAATGCTTGCTACTATGTGTGAATGAAAGAATGTATACTACTTGCATCGTATACTACTTGCATCAATGGGGTACCTGAGAAATAATACAGTTTAAAATTAATTTGTCCCTTGAAGCAGCTTAAGTTTTTTCTCTCTCTTTTCCTTTTCTTTTTTGTCAGTTTTCTCATGTTTGTTGTGGTCATCTTCTTCATCATCATCTTTTTCTTTCTTTTAAGAAAACCTAACTTTCAGTTCCTAACAAAACCTTGTCTTGTTTCTCATACTTTTTTAGGTTAACACAAATCAGATCACTGTGGTAAGTTCACATTTCACTACATAAATGTGTGACTGATTTCATTTCCTGGCAGTAATATGCACTTGGGGGGTGGGGAGGGAAAGTCCATTAAAAGCAGCGTTTTATGCCTGTCTGAAATGTGGGGTGCTTTACATGAATTTATTCTTAACCAGACAATGATTCACAAAAAGAAGGGGAAAGTTCTGCCTAAAAACTTAGTGCACTCCCTCTTGTCACAAAAAATAATTTGTCCTATTTAAATGGTTCTAGTTCCTTTCCCAGGGCTTTGCCAAAATCACCAAATTGTGAGGTAAAAACATGTATCTTATTCTGTTCTTCCTGTTACTATATATGTAACCATATTATCAATCATAGATTTTTTAAAAGTATATGAATCTTAACATTTTTAAGTTAGATCTAAAAAGGTAGTTTACATTGCTTTGGGTTAAATCTGCTTTTCATTAGACTTGTTTTTTTTTTCTAGAGACCTTGAACACCGCTGATGGATATAAAAATGGACACCAATTTTACTACTCCCTCTACAACTCCTCCGGAAAATGACTGTGACCTCTATGCACACCACAACACAGCCAGGATAGTAATGCCTCTGCATTACAGCATTGTCTTTGTAATTGGGCTCGTGGGAAACTTGTTGGCCTTGGTTGTCATCATTCAAAACAGGAAGAAAATCAACTCTACCACCCTATATTCAACAAATCTGGTCATTTCTGATATACTTTTCACCACTGCTTTGCCTACACGGATAGCCTACTATGCCCTAGGCTTTGACTGGAGAATCGGCGAGGCCTTGTGTAGGATAACTGCTCTTGTGTTTTACATCAATACATATGCAGGTGTCAATTTCATGACCTGCCTGAGCATTGACCGGTTCTTTGCCGTGGTACACCCTCTGCGATACAACAAGATGAAAAGAATTGAACATGCAAAATGCATTTGCATATTTGTCTGGATTCTAGTATTTGCTCAAACACTCCCACTACTCATAAAATCTATGTCAAAGCAGGAGAATGAAAGGACAACATGCATGGAATACCCAAACTTTGAAGAAACAAAATCTCTTCCCTGGATTCTGCTTGGTGCATGTTTCATAGGCTATGTGCTTCCGCTCATAATTATTCTCATCTGCTATTCTCAAATCTGTTGCAAACTCTTTAAAACTGCCAAACAAAACCCACTAGCTGAGAAGTCTGGTATAAACAAAAAGGCTCTCAACACAATAATTTTTATAATTGTTGTGTTTATTCTCTGTTTCACACCTTACCATGTAGCAATTATTCAGCACATGATTAAGAAGCTTCGTTTTCCTGATCTCCTGGAATGTAGCCAAAGACAGTCATTCCAGATTTCTCTGCACTTTACTGTATGCCTGATGAACTTTAATTGCTGCATGGACCCTTTTATATATTTCTTTGCATGTAAAGGGTACAAAAGAAAGGTTATGAAGATGCTGAAACGTCAAGTCAGTGTATCAATTTCCAGTGCTGTGAAGTCAGCCCCTGAAGAAAATTCACGTGAAATGACAGAAACTCAAATTATGATACATTCCAAGTCTTTAAATGAAAAATAAAAGGGAATTAAATCTTGGATTTATAGCAAAGTAAACTGTATGACAAACTTTGCATTACATTTTTTATAAAGCAAAATGATTATTCAACATCCAATTAGGATTCTTCCAAATTCCTTTATTTGGGCACTATTTCCCACCTCCAACTTGGAAGTAAACTCAAGTTTTTTACGCTCAAGAGAATGACATAAAGCTAAGATCTAATTTGTAAATGGAATGTGATACCAAAAGGAAGGCTATTTTAATAACTCTCAGTATAAAAGAGAAAGGTTTGTATAAATGAAAATTTTAATCATTAACATTTCCTGCCAACAATTTGGCAAAAGAAAAAAGACTGTTAAGATTGTATATTGCCAGTGTAAAAATGTTAATATTGTAATATATTTCTTTTTTTATAACGTATTTTTTCAATCCATGTTTTGTTTTATTCTAAGACTTTATTTCCTCAATAATACAGCTCTTTGTTTTGTTTTGTTTTGTTCTGAGTCATAAAATTTTACTTCAAAGAACTCTTTTGGAATAAAGAACAGGATTCTACAAAATTATGAGTATGCTCTTCAGTGGTCACTGTCAACTAACAGCAAGAGTTACAAGAACACTATAATTTAGCAGTAGATAGATTTGGAAAGCAACATTATAGTGCATGATGATACTGACAGAGGCAATGAAAAGTATTGAGCTCTTCCTCCACACAGCCCGATAGTGTTTAAGGGCCACTGCTCAGGAATATGATGAGGGGTCTATGTGGAGGTACTCACTGGGAAGAGGGTCCACTTGCTAAATTCTTCTGGGAATAAAAAATACACAAATATACTTGGTTTTTCTTGGGTCTCTAGGGGATCATTTCTCTTTTTTATTCATAGATACCCTGTGCCTTTCAGTGGTCTGGGTTACCAGAAAGGGCAGGAAGGATGAGCAGCAGGTGGTGGTAGAATTGCTGCTTGCCTACAAAAGATAGGGAGTAAAATGCAAAATTATAAACGCAGACTTCCCAGGATTCTTTGCAAGGTTATATATTTGCTCAAGTGAGTGGCTTAGTATGAGTAGCATGACCTTAGCAAGTACAGTCACGCTGTCTGCCAGCTCAAATTTGTTTCACTCAATCCTGAAATACTGCAACACAGTATCTGTGTTAGCAATGACATCAATTGTGGTAATGGAACACAAAAAAATTAAACGCTGTATTATGAGTCATACTTTAAATTTTTATTAGGTTTTATATCCTGAAAATAGTTTCTTTTAAGTTCTTATCTTACTCATTTTCAATTTTTAACCTGTAAGAAAATTAATCTTAATGGTTGATTCAACACCATTTGCTGAGTACTTTCAGATTTGTATTGCATTAACTTCACAAAGAGCTGCCTGACCTTATAGCCACTGACAAAAACAGACACTGATCTTTGAAACACATTATGGCAGTGGTTCTCAACCTGTGGGTCGCGACACCTTTGGGGGTCCAACGACCCTTTCACCGGGGTCGCCTAAGACCATCGGAAAACACATATATAATTATATATTGTTTTTGTGATTAATCACTATGCTTTAATTATGTTCAATTTGTAACAATGAAATTGGGGGTCACCACAACATGAGGAACTGTATTAAAGGGTCACGGCATTAGGAAGGTTGAGAACCACTGCTTTATGGAGACAGGTGAGACCACATGGATGGAAGTCAGAATCTTAGGGCCTTTCCTTCATCTGTAAACTTTCCCAAGTGAAAGAAAAGAAAGAGCAACACATTAAATTTTCATGCATGCAGTCATCTGAGTTGGGTCCCCAAAGAAAAACATAGTGAAAGCTGCTAAAGGAAAACCAGAAATAAAGCTTCCTTAATTCCAGAGTATCTTTATGGTATACCAGTTCTATGGCTACATTTGAGCATACACTATTGTATATATGAACCAACAAGCTGCTTCATAGCAAATGAAAGAGTCCTCTCAGTGCTAATGGGTTCAATTCTTAAGATCCTTGAAACATAAAAGTAAATACCTATGTCACTTGATAAAGGAATTATGTAATCTTTTATCTGTTTAGTTTTCTTCCTTCTCTCTCCACTATACCACAGATCTATATAAATAACTTCATCCAATCACCAGTAGCCATATTACCAAAATGGTAAATTGTAATATATCTCCAGCTAATCTTTTTTTTAAGTCTATGCTCGTGACATGCAGCTATTCACTCTCCTTCAAAAGGCCCATACTGCCTATTTCATTCATGAAGCCACTGTTCACACATGGCCATGGGGCACCTTCCCATTGTCTTGTATAATAGGTAGGCTTTACATTTATTTCCTGTGCATTTCCCTCACAAACAGGTAAACTAGGAAAACAGGAACCGTGCTGTATAATTTTTGTATTCTGTTACAGAACAAAGGAGGTGGCCTTATTTGAAAATCACACCACCGTAAGTATTTTCTATATGAATCAGGTGATATATTATTAACAACTTTAAAAATAATAAGTAGTTAGAAAAACTTATCTAGGCAAGCTGATAGTTATATGGCAGTTAACCATATTTACCTCTTTCATAATTGTATGTTTATTTCTAAAAGACTCATTTGGTTAATTTTTTTTTAAAAAAACACCCTCAAAACTATTTAGTTTAAATCAGTATAAATGCATTGATGCTTCAGTGGTAGCACAGAATAGTACAGATAGTATAGGATAGGACAGATAGTAAATGTTAGATGTCAGAAATGGTATCAGGTATATATGAAGAGCTCAATAATTTACAAAATAGTCCATACATTATGTAATGTCTTCCTTTACACAATCCTGTGAAACAGGATGAGTAGATAGTATCGGCCACACTTTATAAATAAACCTAAGAAAAGGCACCTGGTAAATTAGAGGCAGCATAAGGAATATAACCCTAACTCCAGAAAGAATGCAGAACCGAATCACATAGACCAAAAAAGTATTAGAAGGTTTGTTTTATTATATACCAGCAGACAATCTATCCTTAAATAGGACAAATAATCAACAGTAAGTAGATTATAAACTCAGCTAGGCTGTGGGTTTGTGAGGATGATGATGTCGTCTGTTATATACACAGCATGACACAAAACCTGGCACACAGAAGGTTCTCAAATATCCATCTAATCAGACAGCACCTGTTTTGCACTATTACTAACAATATTCTAAAGTCCTACTGAAATATTTGAAGTTCTTCATGTCTCAATGAAGTGAAAAGAAACTCTATAAATGCTTAATTACATGTTAGAGCATATGTTATCTTCTAAGACCCTGCAATTTAAACTAGACCTATTAAAAGATAGAGTTAACTGCCCAACAAGTAGATACAGAAATATGTTCTGCTTGGAAATAATTTTATATTTCAAGAAGCAAAAGGTAGTGACGCCCACCAATCAGTAAAAAGAATCAGACAATTTTAAAAGGGGAAGCACCAATCTTAAATTAGCCCTTAAAATGGTCTATTTTGGCCACTTTTACGCCCATTGTAATTTGTTATTCTTTGCAAAAGCTAAAAACATTTGCTCACTGACTATTCAGGTAAGAGTGAAAAGATGAAAGGCTGACCTGTGACAACAGGCCCATTCTTCTGAATCCCAGGAGGACTAAATGCGCGGAGAACTGCTGCCAATGGAAGTCTGTTTTACATTCAACTCTGAAAAACTGATCACTTGAAAGATAATCCCCAAATTTCTTTTCAACTAAAATTTCAATTAGCCAAGAAGGAACAATTATTACCCATTTACTACATGCCACTTTTTGGAACACTTGACAGGTATTATCTCATTTAATCCTCACCACTTTAAGAGATGGGTACAATTATCTCCATTTTGCTGATGAGGAAACTAGAGTGCCAGGCCACATGGAGAGGTGGAGTCAGGAATTAAATCCAAACCATTTGACCCTGTGCCTATAGCCTGACTTGGAAAAGGAGGGTGTCACCACATCTAGAAACATGTCCATTAAGAGGTGGCTGTATTCCTCTACTTGCTGTGGCCTCCTGTGCCTAGACATTTCCCATCACCACACTGGAACTTCAGCTCATCTTCTTTCCCCACGGGGACCCCCTCAATTCTCTGCAAACTCAAGCTTCTTTCTCTGTCACCCACACCTGACCATCCTTCTCTCATCCGTGGTATTTAGCCAGTGAATCTTGCTTGGGTTTTCTCCTCTTGCACTCTCTCTTGCCCATCTTTTTCTTTGCCCAATATCATCATCCTAGTCCAGACGCTGGCATCACAGACATATTACTACAACTTCTTTCCCACTGGCCCCCTCAACTAGAGTCAGAAATATTTGCCTTCCTATCAGAGGCTATACTGGAAGCAAGCAGATTAATGATAATAACAATAATAAATACTTGCTAACAATTACATGGTACAGTGCTCTAACACGTGTGTGTGTGTGTGTGTGTGTGTGTGTGTGTGTGTGTGTGTGTGTCTCACTCAAGCCTCACAACTCACAATAATTGTGTGAGGCTCTTTCCATTACGATTTGTTTTATAGATGAGAAAATCATTCCCCAGCAAAGTTAAGTAACTTGCCCAAGGTCATGCAGCTAGTAAGTGAGAGAGCCAGACTCTAGACTCTGGCAATTCCAGGGTCTACACTCTTAGTCCTTATATTATCTCTTAAACAAGTAGAATTTATACCCAGATCCTCAGAGAGCCTTGGAAGGGACATTGCTCACTGAATACCCTCAGGTTCACTTGAGGGGCATGTGTGACTACTTTTGGCCAGTGGGTGGGAGCAAAAGTGGCATGCCACTTTTAGGCTGAAACATTAGAGAGCAGTGAGGTATATTCTATCCCGCTCTTCTCTCCTGCCACAGTGACCAGATATGTTCTAGGACCTTTGTTAGTATAGGTCCTTGAATGAGTAAATGGAGAATTCCCCATGCCTGCATCCCATCCACCTTAGTTAAGTGGTACAAACAAGAAATACACTTATGCAGCAATTTTCGACCAGTGCACTGCAAGAATTTTTATTTAATTTTATTTATTTTTTCCTTTTATTGAATTTATTAGAGTGACACTGGCTAACAAAATTATACAGGTTTCAGGTGCACAATCCTATAACACATCATCTGTATACTGTAGTGTGTGTTCATCATCCCAAGTCAAGTCTCCATCCAGCACCTTCCCCAACTCCCCACCCTCTGGCAATCACCACACTGCTGTCCATGTGCATGAATTTTTCTTGTTTTTTCTTTTTGCTCAGTATCTCCACCCCCTTACCCAGCACCACCCGCCCCCACCCCTGACAGTTGTCAGCCTGCTCTCTATCAATTCTGTCTCTATCTAAGTCTGTCTCTATTTTGCTTGTTAGTTCATTTTATTCGTTCGATTCTACATATGAGTGAAATTATATGGTACTTGTCATCCTCGGAATGGCTTATTTCACTTAGCATAATGCTCTCCAGGTCCATCCATGCTGTTGCAAAAGGTAACATTTTCTTCCTTTCTCCCTTTCTCCCTTTCTCCCTTTCTCCCTTTCTCCCTTTCTCCCTTCCTTCCTTCCTTCCTTCCTTCCTTCCTTCCTTCCTTCCTTCCTTTCTTTTTATCAT